CTCTTAGGTTGGAGGCCATCGCTATTAGGTTGGAGGCCATCGCTATTTGGTTGGAGGCCATCGCTTTTAGGTTTGAGGCCATCGCTTTTAGGGGAGGCCATCGCTATGAGGTTGGAGGCCATCGCTCTTAAGTTAAGTTGGAGGCCATCGCTCTTAGGTTGGAGGCCATCGCTCTTAGGTTGGAGCATCGCTATTAGGTTGGAGGCCATCGCTATTAGGTTGGAGGCCATTGCTATTAGGGTGGAGGCCATCGCTCTTAGCCTGAGGCCATCGCTCTTAGGTTGGAGGCCATCGCTCTTAGGTGGAGGCCATCGCTATGAGGTTGGAGGCCATCGCTCTTAGGTTGGAGGCCATCGCTCTTATTAGCTTGTAGGCCATCGCCATCAGGTTGGAGGCCATTGCTATGATTTTGGAGCCATCGCTATTAGGTATTGAGGCCATCGCTATTAGGGTGGAGGCCATCGCTCTTAGGTTGGAGGCCATCGCTCTTAGGTTGGAGGCCATCGCTCTTGGGTTGGAGGCCATCACTCTTAGGTTGGAGGCCATCGCTATCAGGTTGGAGGCCATCGCTACTGGGGAGCTTCTGGTCCTTCATCATTCCCTTTTTTGGGCCCTATGGTCAATGTTTTTCTCTTCTTCCGTGTCGGGCACGGGACAAGCGCGCCCAACCCAAATCGGGTTTCACCAGTGCTGGGATCATTTGCTTAGTTTGACTTTCTATTCATGGGGCCCTGACTGATCGTGCTTGAGACATGGTTGAATGTTTGGCTTTAATAAGGATGACATCGACGACGACTTCTGGAAAGAGTTTGACATGTGAGGACTGCTGCTTCCAGGATGCATTGAGGCGTTCTGCGAAGTTTCTACAGATGCTGCAAATTGTACATCGCCAGCCACGTGAAGGACCTGATCACTCAAACTCGCAAGATAAATCAATTCACGTTTGGCATTCAAAACCTCAGTGGCGCCATATAATTCATTGCTGCGAACACACCGGCACCACGTACTTGGTCAACAAATCCATCCTTCACAGGCCAAACATGTGAGACCAGTGGTCAGAAAAGACCGAAGAGCGAAGATCCGCGAAGAGAAAAAGGCGGAGAGAAGTCGTTGGAAGACCCATGAGCCGTCTCAGATGGGGAGTTCCAGTTGTAGGCACAGTGCAAAAGGATGGTTATTTTGTGGGTTCATGCCATTAGCTGATGAATGCCCACTCACTTTTGTCATCTTATTGCATATTGAAATACTATACTATACTTTAATACAATAGTCAAGAGTCAAGACTTTTAGTGTTTTCGGTTCTGCGTTGTGTTGGAATGATTTGGAATGTGTTTGCAGCGCGAAAACTGCTGCCACTTGTTGCTGCAATTGCCGATTAGGCAAAGGCACCCACTTCTGTGCCTCCAAAGAATGAACACATAAAGAATAAACTTCATGATGAGAACAGTATTGAAAGCACCAACCCTTGCGAAAATTCGATTGCTGTGAGTCATTCAGGTTTCATGGAATACCATAAGGGCGATCCATCGCTATTTTCCTGTGTTTGTAATGACGACCGGACACGGACACGTCACAAGCTTGGCTCAGAGCATCGTCATGAGGTCCACGACTCACCACCGAAGACCGGCTGAAAAAACTTTGTCCGAACATCCTGGGTGTTGGTAGCTCGCAGAGTTGGCATGGCTTTAGAGAGGAACAAAAGTGGCATTGACTTAAGTCTGTCGCTGTTGCTGTCACTGGGTGAAGTGGCGCCGGTACCAACACGCCTGAAAGCCGCGGTCGGGAGGCCAAAGCCAGATATGCATAATATAGGCGGGGGAGTCATTTGGTATTTGTCCGACTAAACATCATTCCTGGAAGGAGTTGCTGGTATGTGGTAGGTTGTTTCGCTGAGCATTGGCATGTACAATTTGTCACGTCATGTTTGACACAAGAACTCCACACGTGTCGGAATCGCGAACATTGGCAGCTGCTCACTCGTGTCGGATCGCGCGTCCGAATGGAATTGGGTGCTGCTGAACTCAGGTCTAAATGCTTCCCGAAAAGCAGGCTGGAACACACTGAGAACATAATTATATTATATGTCTTGGCGTCGGAAAGCAAATTGCTTGGGTTGGTAGTGGAGCTTGGAGGCTGTGGTCCTGGTGCAACATAATCATGCGATGACAGACATCTTTGGGGCTGATTGGGAGAAACGGAAATGGCAAAGTGCATGCAGTGCCCATGCATGCAGCATAATTTTGGTCGAACATGGTGATATTGAATGATTCATCCTTTTATGGTGTGCTGACGTGTGCTGGTTGCTAAGAGAGACCCCATTCACTGTTTTGACACTTGACTCACTTGACAAGAAACCGGCGACCGGCAGATGCTTGCAACTGTTCCAAACTGTGGCCATTTCAGACTCAGATTTTCGTGGCCATGGGCAATCAATCCAGCTGCTGTGAGGAGGAGCTTGAAGAAGTGCCCAAAGAGGTGCGGGTCGAACTCACTGCTTTGTCGTTCGGTTTCGGCATCGGCATCACCCATCGGACCTGAAACCACATGGTCACTGGATGTCATGATGTCACTCCCTAGGGCTCCAGATACCTTCTGAGAATGGTGTTTGGGGTGGGTATGGGTGGGTTTAGAGGATCCAAATACCTTTTGAGGAGGCACCTGGAGCCCTAGGGACTGTCTTTCAAAGAATAGAACCTTCGAATTTCGCGTCCGCAGCGACACGTTGCGAACGCGTTGCGACGCCAACGGGCGTGGCCAACAGTCGACGTCTGGCTGGCCAGTTCCGTGCCGAAGGTGCAAAGCCGAAGCATCGAACTCAACATCTGCCAGAAGAGCAGAACAGAAGAACCGTTTGCATCACAAGGTCGGACCTAATTCCAATTCCCAGTCCTTCCCCGACCATCATTCCAACATACTTCCGACCTCGGACTCTCCGGGGGCCCAGTGTCCAAGGACGCTGATCGGGTCTCGCCATGGAGCGAACTTGGACGACTTGGACCCCCCAAGTTCTTCACGTCACGCGTCATGTGACCAGTGTCAGGGGAAAGAACGTGCGTGGTCGGTCACGACCGCGGAACACCTGTAATACATCCATAATACATTCTCAACCATCACTTGTATAGTGGACGGTCTGTTTTGGAGCCTACTTCAGGAATCTGGAACATGATTGGAACATGGCTGAGCGATGGCAGACTGTACTGAACATGTTTTCAATTGTTTTCATGTCCAAATATGCACGGGGTTGATAGAACCCCCAAGCACGCTCTCACGTTTTTTCCTTGCGCACACTGTTGGATGCTTTGGATATATAATTTGGGGTTGGTGGGGTGGGAGGTGGCAATCTGCAAACATGCGGCAATGGAATTTCTTGTATAGCTGGAACAAGAACAAGTCCCTTTCACAAGCACCCGCTCTGCTCCAACCATCTCCAATCTATTCAACGTCTATACTGCACCACAACGTCCTGCCCGCAACGACTTAGAAACGGTATTGGTCCACGCTGAAGGGGTTCCCAACGAACAGGGTCGTCAACTCCGTCAGAAGGACGCCCCAGCACCCTCAACAGCAACGTTCTGAAACCACATCGACGCAGCAAAAGACACCGATCGGGTCTATGGCCGATCAACCGAAGTCAGGACGACAGGACGTCAGTCATGGTTCCCTGCACACGTTCTGGTCGAAACCCGGAGTAACATGAAATTTCCAAACTATATTATATAATGTTCTTAGAGTCACATGTCGGGGTGGTGTGGCTCGTCCCATCCAGTGAGCGGATGTGACAGGGGCACCCCGACAAAAACACCCCTATCCTCCACTGGGCGCCCCGTCTTGTGACTCCTGGTTTATAGTTCTTCCTCAAAGAGCAAACATCAAAACGTGCGCGAATTTCTATCGACACGGCACATTAGGCTAGGCTAGAAAGGGCTCTACCACGCGGTCGGAGTGTTCTTTTTCTGACCAGTTTTGAATTTGGCTGACTTGACATGGCACCAGACTTGTTGGTAGCCCAGGCTCGTTAGACATGCTTCCCCTTGTTTCAATCATCGCTCCCTCCCTCCCAGGTGATCCATCACCGCCATGACTTTGCAGAAGGCAACAGCTTCAAAACATGCCTTCCCGGTGACGCAGCCCATGAATCGGAGGAGACGGATGAATCGGCCTCCGCCAGCGCTGGCAGTCCGCGTGCGGTGGACATCAGCTTGGCTCAGTGTCGGCTGCAGCGCATGGACCATTTAGTGGTGGATCAAGAAATTCTACGAGGGATCACATTGCGAGAGTCCCCCGGCTTTTGTTGTTGATTGGATTCCACTGCGGTTCTTTGTTCAGGTGAGATAGTGTTGGTGGAGTTGTTGGTGGAATGTCTTAATTGCTATAAAGGTAGCCAAAGCATTAAGAGAACAACAACTGCTTTGCGTAGACCAAACAACAACCTGGAGTCTCATACTAGCTCACACTCAGAGTGAGTACATCTGCTATGTTCAAGGGCCCCGGTCGGGTTTGACAGCACCTTGTTTGACGAGGAAGTTCCTGACTTTGGGGCAGACACTGCGAAGTGTTGAAGGTAGGTGGTTCGCTGCATGACAAACAAGAATGCGGTTGAAGCCGTGTAGGGATACCAATTCGTATAGGCTAATGTCAAAGGCTATACTGATTGATCCCTTAGAGTGGCTAATGTCACAGTGCTCCTGTCTTCGAAGACGAGCTGGTCCTAGAAGACACAGCACACGGCCGTAGAAGACACACGCAGCAAAACACCAAGCCGTCAGGTCCCTCCAGGACGGTGGACGTCTTTGGAGGCGTTCGCCCTTGGATCTCAAAGAGCCCGAGCGGAAAGGCTTGTGGAGCAGGTGTCGTGCACGTACAGACGCGCAGAGCGTCGTCCGCGCAGACGGACGTGGCGTAGACTTTGGGACACGTGTTCCTTTTTTTGGTGTTTGTGTGTTTGGTGTTTTTTGCTTCAGTTGCGTGTATTTGTTTAGTTTCAGTTTTTTGTTTGTGTTGTTTTGTTTGGGACACGTATCTGCTGTGTGTGTTTTTTTTAAGCAAACTGGAGTGGTAGGTGGTTTAGAAGACCCATTGTTTTCCCTGTGAGGGGGTGTGATGTTCCAGGCACGCCGACTTCCTCCAACCTAAGCACCCTGGCCCCAAACCCCTGGAAAAAAATAGGCCAGAATCTAGGAGCTAGTGGTTGGGGATCACCCAAATAACCCCCCATGGAACTGCAAACTAGAGACTTTGGCATCATGACCCGAAACATGTTGATCGCTGAACATATTGCGAATGGTGCGTAGTTTTCGTGAGTGTTGGGGTGCTCGGTGTGGCGTCAACAAGGAAACACTAATATAGTAATATATAGCGATGGCCCCCAACCTAATAGCAATGGCTTCCAACCTAAGAGCCATCAAAATCCATCAAATTACATGTTCCTCCTTTACCTCGGGAAGCAACTGTTTCACTTTTGAAACCGCGATGGCCGGAAGAAACTCCGTTCTTCGACGCGTACGCCGCTCTGCTCGTCGGTGTGTTTTCGTTTGAGCCGGTCTGACCGGTTTGGCTCCGCACGAGGTCTCGAAATGTCGAAGGCTTTGACATTTTCCTCTCGCACACGTGGCAGACGTCAGGAATTTGGAAGGTCTTGTCTTTGACCCTTCAGTCTTCCTGGAAAGCTTGGATAGCAACATGGTTGCTTCTGGTGTGTTTGGCCATTGTCCTTTGCTTATTTGATTTCTTGCCAATGACTGAGACATGGACTCCCAACATCTTGGGCTTTAGTAGACCCTGCCCCTTGGGCGGCTGGGTCATGGTGGCCAGCTTCTTGACTCCTTTCTTGGCCATCCTCATCTCCTTGAACCTTCCGGAGTCCTTCGTGAAGTCACCGATTTGCTTTCTGGACGTGGTCAGCATTCATCAGACCGATAAGGATC